GACCACCTGCCCAGGGATGGTACCACCCACTAAGAAAATGCCCTACAGGCTTGCCTATAGCCTAATTTTATAGAGGCATTTTCTTATCTGAAGTTCCCTCCTCCTAGGTGACTTTAGCTTGTCAAGATGATAAAGAAACTTTGGAGCAAAGAGGCTGGGCATGGTGGCACACAACTATAATCCCAGCACTCAGAGGGCAGTGAGAGGCAGGGGGGATTGTCACAAGTTTGACACCAGTCTGGTCTATAGCAAATGTTCCAGGAAAGTTGGGGCTACATGGTGAAAGCCTGTCTCAAGAAACCCACAGTCCAGTGTAGCCTTTAATCCCAACACTGGTGAGGCAGAGTAGGTGGACCTCTGTGAGTTCAAAGCCAGCCTCGTCTACAGAGTGAGTTCCAGAACAGCCAGGACTACACACAGAGAAACCACATCTTGAAAAAACAAAACAAAATGAAAGAAAACAACCCCACTCCCCCCGCACATTGTAATCATTGTTTAGCACGTAGACTCCAGTGTATCCCTATCTCCTCAGATACAGTGGGTGTCAGAGATGTGGGACTGTGTCAGGCTGTTTGGTGTCTCGGCACAAGTCTACTCAGCTGACAGAGGCCGGGGAATCCAAAGTTCAAGGCCTAGTCTGGTATGGTGGCACACATCTTTAATTCCAGCACTCAGGAGGCAGAAGCTAAGTTCCAAGCCAGCCTGTCTACACAGCGAGTTCTAGTCAGGGTTACACAATGAAATCCTGTGTCAAAAACAAGAAAGAAAGAAAGAAAGAAAGAAAGAAAGAAAGAAAGAAAGAAAGAAAGAAAGAAAGAAAGAAAGAAAGAAAGAAAGAGAGGAGAGAGAGAGAGAGAAAAGAGGGGGAGGAAGGGAGGAAGGGAGGGAGAAAGAAAGAAAGAAAGGGAGAGAGAAGAAAAAAGTTTAAGGCCTAAGCTACACGATGAGACCATTTCAGAAAAGATTTTTTAAGCTAGGTGGTGGTGGTGGTGTATGCCTTTAATCCCAGCATTCAGGAGGCAGAGGCTAGTCTTGAACCAGCCTGGTCTACAAAGCAAGTTCCAGGGCTAAATAGACCTTATTTTGGAAAACCAAAATTAAACCAAACCAAACAACAACATCATCAAAAAAAACCACCACCAAAAAAAGTTTTTAAAGGGTGTTGGGCTCGGGGAGCTTTCTCAGTTGCTCAGCTGGTGTCTGCCTTGCAAGTGTGAGGACCTGGGTTCAGATCCCCAGAACCTCAGTAAAGGGGCACACAATGGATGCCTGTGCCTCTAGCGATGGGGGATGGGAGACAAGAGACAAGTGGGTGTCTGTAAGCTCTTGGGTCAGTTAGTCTGGCCTGTGTGGGGAAGAGTCAGGCCAGTGAAACAAAAGGGGGGGGGGAAATGCCTAAGGACCCCCACGAGTGGCTGCCCTCCGACCTCTGCGTCTAAGGACCCCCACGAGTGGCTGCCCTCTGACCTCTGCGCCTAAGGACCCCCACGAGTGGCTGCCCTCTGACCTCTGCGCCTAAGGACCCCCACGAGTGGCTGCCCTCTGACCTCTGCGCCTAAGGACCGACCGAGTGGCTGCCCTCCAACCTCTGCGCCTTAAGGACCCCCACGAGTGGCTGCCCTCTGACCTCTGCGCCTAAGGGCCCCCACGAGTGGCTGCCCTCTGCATCTAAGGACTGACACAAGTGGTGCCCTCCGACCTCTGTATGTGTGCCGTGCCTGTGTGCACCCACAGAAAGGGCGTCAAGCAGCCCCAAGTTCAGACCCTAGGATTACACGACAAACAAGCAAGTCCACTCTTCCTTGCAGGTGGGACAGTGTCACCTCCCATCTGTGGAACTCAGGTCCCCAGAAGCTGAACCCTGCTCTAAAGATGAAAGGAAGGGGTGGCCCCTTGAACTTGTCCAAGGCACAAGGCGAAGTGAAAACCAACAGAAGCAGGTGTTCCTAGAACTTAGAACACGGGGCTTGTTCAAACAGATGGGCCTCACCCACGGGGAGTGGCACCCATCACGGCCCCTAGCCCTGCCTGCTGAGGCCACTTCAAGCAAAAAATGACTTTGCTGGCCACTGAGACACAGTTCATCTGCTGAAGTAATTGAGGGCATAAATAATGCCACTGACAATAAGCGACCTGAAGGGAGGGGGGATGGACACGGCACAGGTCCCTTCCAGGAGCCATTTGTCAGCATGGTCCTAGAGGTGTCACAAATGACTCTGGGTCAGTGTGGGCGATATGTCAACAGCGGAAGGCAGCGCTGCAGCCACACGAAGGGGCAGGGGGATGCCAGCAAGAGGCTGGCTTCCTATTGTGTTCACTATGGTCCACATTCCAGAAAGCAGCCTCGGAGACCTGGCAGAGTTCTCCCCCCCCCCCCCCCCACCACTCTGGCTTTTTCCCAGCCTCCTCCATTCTCCTGGGCAAGGGGCACCTGGGGTCCACTCAGCAACTGTCTTTCTCTCCTTGCTTAGGAAGGGCCCCTGCGATTCTACTTCTGTCACCAGTTGGGGACCAAATGTTGAGTCTGTTGGCACATTTCGTACCACAGTGTGGGGCGAAGCACAGCTACCTGTTTCCCTACCTCTCCCAGGAGGACAAAGTACCCCAGAAACACACCCTTGATAGCACCCAAGGTGAGTGTTGATGTAATGGAGACACATTCTCACCATGTCAGAAGCAGAAATAGTCGTTTTAGAGGGCTGTGGTCCCCCTCATATACATCATACACACCAAATAAATATTAAAAACAAAAAACAAAGGCAGAGCTGTCTTGTGTGATAGTTGTCTTTGGGATTTCAGGCCAGCCCCCACTGAGGCTCCAGGGAGCCTGTTTAGCTTTAAGGATGCACCACCCTGGCCAGAGGATCCCCTAATGAGCAATTCAGTTAAGCCCCACAGACACAGGCGGTCGTGAGACTTGTGCCACCTAGTGGCTGTGAGAAGAGCAAGGCCAGTCCATTGTCCTTTGGGACCAGTCTGACTGGGGCACTAGAGTTCACAGGCTGCTTCCTGCAGTGCCTCTAGGGACTGTGGGTGACCTCTCTGGCTTCAGGAGCCAGCCACAATCAATGGGGAGGGCTAACAGAACCTCAAGGATGGGCTGTGATGGGCATACAGGTCCCCTAACCTGGAATGTCTCTATTGCCAGATGTTAGCATGTTATGTTTTTTTATGCCATAAGCATGTGCATATGCCCCGCCACTGTGTTGACGTCAGAGAACAATGCTCATGAGTGGGTTTTCTTTTCACGTGAGTCTGAACTTAGTTCATCAGGCTTCAGTGCCTTGACCTACTGAACCATCTCACTTGCCCTTAACGTTTTTATTTAATGTGTGTTTTGCCTGTATGTCTGTGAACCGCTTGCATGCAGTGCCCAAGGAAGCCAAAAGAGGGCACTGAATCCTCTGGAACCAAAGTTACAGTGTGCTGCCATGTAGGGTGCTGGAAACTGAACCCTGGTACTTGGCAAGACCAACAAATGTTCTAAACCAGCCCTCCACCTCACTTATCTTTTAAAAATCTGTGTATGTCCACGTGGCCACACGCCTGTGACCGCCACTCTACCGTTCTTCCTGCAAAGGAGGATATGTGGATGAGCTCTGGGGCACAGGTGGGCTGCAAGGCCTTGCTGGAGCAGCCTCGAGTCTGTGCACACGGGAAGTGAGTCTTCTAGTCCCAAGGCAACGGTGGCTGGAGAGCATCAATGGTACTGCAGGCTCTTCCTGGACAGCTATGGTGGCCAGGGAAGTTTTTAGGACCTTCTTTAGTACTGTTGTTTTGATGCAGCAAGAATTGAACCCAGGGCCTCACCCATGCTAAGTGTGACCCTACCAGTGTTGGCATCTCAGGCATGTACCACACCATCCAGCTCTGGTAAGAGGATTTGTCATCACTGTGGCTTGGATACAGATACGGAGACCCAGCCATACCATGTTAGCACCTCTAAGTTTTCCCTTAGGACGATGTAAGAAATGGGTGTTTTCAAGTGTACCTCAGTACAGAATGAGAAAGAGGATCAGGACAGTTCCCTTAGGCTTTAAAAAGGTTTATTTTTATTTTTTTCTCAACGTTAAGGATGTCTTTGTCAGACATCAGAGAAGAGAGGATCATGTCTCTAAATCCAGAGCAGATGTCCCTTGTGCTTCTCAAAACCCACAGAATGCAAATGGTACCAGATGCCCAGGGGCAAGAACTGAAACAGAAAAACCCATGTGCTTGGCCATCAGTGCGCATTTCCAACCAACTTCACCCTCCAGACTTCCCACACGGGCCACCACCGACCTGGGAAACCACGTGACAGGAACAAGTGATCTGGCCATTCCCAGCATGCAGAGGGCAGGCACTACAAAGACCAAGGGAGGGGACAGTCGGACCATGCATCTCATGTCAACACCATGATGAAAAGTGACCGAATCAGTTGGATGTGCTGGCTTGTGTCTGTAACCCCAGAACAACGCAGCCTGGGCTAAACTGTAAGAGCATCTCAAAGACGAAACAAAAAGAACCACGGAGTGGAGCTGAGCGAGGAATAGATTTCTCATCTCAGCTGGGCTGTGACCAAAATATCTAGTCTTTCCCAAGCAGCCCACCTGCTGTCAAGTCTCGGCTCCAAGAAAGACTGTGAGAATGAAGTTACTAAGCCCGACTCGGCACCTGATGCAGCCTCGAAGCTCCAGGGTCCACAAGAGGGGCAGAATGGGGCAGCTTCAGGTGGAGGGGCGCTACCTGATTGGGCAGGGCATTTGTTGCAGGGGGATGGCAACCCTGGGCCTCTGCAATGCGTCGTTCGCTTGATGCCCAGTGTGTGTGTGTGTGTGTGGGGGGGTCTTCACACCACCAACCCCCAGGGAAGATAACTATACTTCCCCCCCCCTTTATGCTAAGGAGCAGGACACGCCAAGGCAGACGTCCACACACATCCTCAAACACGATGCCGTGTTTCGTCTCCCACCTAGCTTTGTAGGCAGAGCAGAACAAAAACCATGCACTTTACTCTGTGAGACATTTCAGTTTTAGTGTTTATTGGAGTCCATTGCTGGCCAGGCCCAGTGCTAGGGCTCCCCTCCCACACCTCACAACAGCCCTGTGAGGTAGGGTTCTTCTAGTACAGTCCAGTCCAAGGCCCCCGAGCTGCCCCTAGCTCACATTAGTGTAGGGAGGACAAGGGGCTCCAACTTTTGCTTTGTTTTGGAAAATACAAAAGCTTTGGTCCCAATCCATACAAATCTTAAAAATTTGGGGGATTTTAAACTCTCATTCCCCAGTGTATTTTTTTGTTTAAAGTCGTCATCCTTTGGTTTTTTTGGAAACAGGTTCTCATTCTGTAGGCCAGGCTTGCCCATACTGTACAGTTTAGGTGGGCTTCAAACTCACAGCATTTCTCCTGCCTCCTCTCCTGATTACAGGTTGTACCATACCTGATTCCAAAATTTTCTCTTAACTTTGGAAAATTTAAAAATGGCCATTTGTGTGAGGCCTGATGGTGAGCAATCACTTGGGTGTGTATTGTAGTGGACTCAGTCCCTCAATTGGCTCTGCCAGTGATGAGTCCTGACAGAGTGCCACCTCGGAGAGCTGCTCTCGCCCCTGTCCACACTCCTCCTCAGGCCTGAGGGCCAAAAGGGAGAAATAAATCCCACGTTTCTGGGATACTAATTTCCAAGAGAAGAAATCTCAGCAGGTGGAGTTGGGCCCCAACCCACAGCGTTCAAGCCCAGAGTCAGCACGTAAGTCACACTTGATTCCAGACATCGCTCTTTGGTTCCAGGAAGCCCCAGCTCCAGCCCTGTACGCTTGCTTGCTTCCCAGGCTCTTCTAGCCAGTACTCCCTGGTCGTGCTTGGTCCTGCAAAGACCTGTTTTATTGTCCTAGAGAAGCAACGCACTGTGGCAGGCCACAGGGCTGGGGTTCCACGCACAGCTTAAAGTTCAGCACCCCCAGTCCCAGCCCTGCCAGCAGCCAGATCTAGCTGTGGACAGCCCTTGTGCCCCACCCATGTGATTAGCCACCCTGGGAACAGCAAGGGCAGGAGACACCAGCAGGTCTGTCTAGCCACTGCACTCTGCAGAAACACTACCAGACTTACCCAGGCTAAACTCAAGACCTGTCTAGAAGCCTGACAAGGCTGGCAGAACCTGGTACTCCGACATCATCCTCTTCATTCCCTGCTTGCACCTAAAGCCATGTATATGAAGAAGTAACAGCCCACACCTTCTTAACTCATTACTTCATAACTGCTACGGTCCCTTTAGAATGCAGATTCGAGACCTGAAGTTTTCATTCCGTAGAGCTGAGAAAGGAGCTAGGCATAGTGGTACCTGTGATCCCAGCTCTCAGGAAGTAGAGGCGGGGGACCGCTCTAAATTTGAGGCCAGTGCTGGCTATATATTGAGTTCTAGGGCAGCCTTGGCTGTAATGTGAATCTGTACTTCCCCCAAAGCCACCAAAAGTAAAAAGCAAACAGAAGCGAGGGCAGACCTGAAACCTGACATCACATTCCTGCACACTTACAGACCGAGAAAGAAAAGGCACGTCACTAGGGTGGGGGACCGGGGGAGGACCCACTGTCTCCCTGGGGCCTCTCTACCTGTTGCTACTAACTCTGGGGAGGGGAGAGAGGGGAGCCCCTGGCAGACAGCACAGCTCCAGGCGCAGACTGATGCCTGGCGGCTGATGCAGCATCTTAGACCTTTGTGCTTTTTTGGGCACGGGAGTAGCTACACTCTCCTTTAAAACAAACCAAGCCACAGTTAGCGGACGGGGACAGTAGGAGACAGAGCATTTAATGACACAAATGAGATTGCCTTCCTTGGCTCCAGGCTGCCCCGGCACATTGCCAGAAAAGAAGGTGCAGAGCAGAAACTGCCTCTCCCTCAAGATCCCCATGAAGAACAAGACCCCACACAACAGTCCCCCATGGAGAAAGCTAGTTCCAGAATGATTCAATCTGGAAAGAGAATATAAATTGGAGGAAAATGGTCCAGGTGGGGCTGTCTCAGTGGGCGGCTGGGCCCTGCTCCTGCAGGATCACTGCACACAGAGCCATCTTCATTCGGGCCCTGCCATGAGACCTGACCGCTCTGCTTGCTATGGGGTGGCTCTCCTATGCTGGCTTGGCACATCACGCATGCAAAGCAAGGAGACGCCACAGACTTCACCAGTTAATTTTGGCAAGAAAAAAAAAATAAAAAAAAATAAAGAGTGAGAGAAAATAAAAAGCTAAAATTCATAAGCAGGATTAAAGTCACTGAAGTGAAAACAGTGTATTTTCTCGACAGTATGGATAAACTAGAACTACAATCTCTTCGCTTTAAAATCTCTGCCATCCTCTCCCTCAATTCAGGTCAAAGTTCATAGCAGCAATGCACAAGTCCTCTGCTCCTGGGCCAGAGTTCACAGGTCAGCATCAGTCAGTCCGGAGAATCATGGGAGGATGTTCACTGTCTTCATCCAGGCGCAGGGCGCTGGCTTCATCCTCCAGGCAAGTGCCCCCCACGGCACCCAGGTCATCTGTGTAGGCTGCAAAGAGATAAGTGTGCCATCCTCACAGAACCTGCCCAATTACTGATGCTGTCTGTGCACCAATGACAGGCTGCGTCCTGAAGATGGCCTCAGTTATGGCTTTGGCCACACTAAGACCTTTCCAATCCAGTCAGAAAACTTAGGCCTCTAGAATCTCAGGCAGAGCCAAATGACATCACCCACTTCACAGCACGCACCACAGCACAACACAAGTCCTGTAAACAGTGGTAACTGAATGAGTGACCAATGAGCCTTTAGAGGACTCTAGCTGGAGACAACACAGATCATGTGTTAAGGCTGAAGGGTGCTTCCAACATGGGAGCTAGCACCTCTCTTGCTAGCAAACCCCTTGAGATTAGGGATGGAGAGGGGCATGCCTGAGCGAGCTCAGGTGTCAGTACTAGTGGCCTCTGCCCATGATCCATGAAGGACATGCTACTTACAGAGGTGGAGGTTGGGTGGGCTCACACACAGACAGAGTCACTGGCCACAATGACTGCCTTTTCCCCCCAAATGAAGACTATAAGCTAACTTTCACAAGCCTTGGAAGGAAGCTCTGTCCCACAGCTCAGCGGGAAGAGGCATCTCCAGTGACAACACAGTACACAAGAATGTGGAAGCAGTTGCTCAGTTACCTTCTAAGTTGGTGTCCTGCCCTTTACCAAACCTCGTTGGGGAGGAGGGCACATAGGCACCTTTGGCAGCTGCTGCGCCGTACGTCTGCGTTACTAAGGGGCAGTCCTGAGAGGCAGAGTCTACAATTTCGCTGGTGGTCTCCATACTGCCATCGAGCCTACAGACAGCAAATGAACAGGGTCAGGCTCACTGTTCTAAGCCAAGTATGCTGGCTCCTCAAAAATCTCAGGTTGAGGCAGAAGGATTCCTCAAGTGTGAGGTCAGCCTTGTGTGCAGAGCAGGATTTGTCTCAAACAAGTTGTTCCCAGAGGGCAGATGGACACAGTATGCATAGCACATGCTGGGGCCTGAGGAGCTAGTCAAGGAGGGAGTGCCACAGACGCCTGCTCCCACCTGACAGAACACATCCACCAACACCAAGAATCTGCCCCTGGGATTTCCGCACAGTGACTTTAACACAGGAAGTCTGGTAAAGTCACACACATCTCAATCACCAACTGCAAATTCCCCACATGCATCCTGAGGTGGGGTGGCAGGCTCCTGTGGGGGCCACCTTACAGTAAACCCTGAGCCTCACCCTCAGCAAGGGCCTGGGGCCACCCAATCACACACAGACCATCAGGCTCAGGTGTCTTTCCTTCCTGGCCCTTGAAGGGTCCCCTGTGCCAGCAAGGGAAAGTAGAGGCTCTTATCACCAGAAAAGTGAATTTCAACTGGGAGATGGTGCTGGCCAATGACACAGGCCAGCAGACTGGCCTTAGGGGGATGAAAGCACAGACCTACAGCAGTGCCTGCAGCTGCAGACTGCCATGCAGATCTGCCTCACCTGTGCTGACGCATCAGGGCACACTCGCCACCTTCCTGGGGGTCCAGGTTGTACATGTATAAATAGCCATCTGATGCTCCCACCAGCAACCGTGGGATCTTCTGAATTCTAAAGAAAAACAGCCCATATTTTAGAAGGAAGACTTTTTTCCCTTTCACAAAAGGCATCTCACTAAACCTACATCTCAGTCGGGCTAGGAAGAAACCCACCAGCGCACTGGATGAAGGCAGTACCTGGGCTCCTCAGAGTGAAGCTGGTAAGGCCAAGGGTGGCCTGGGTGTGAGCACACACTGAATCCCAAAGAGCAGGTGCTGGAGCAGGGTAGCTGTCAGTTTCTCTGGTCACTAAGAGAGGGTATTTTCTCTCTTTCCTGTGTATACACATGCACTCATCTATACACGCCCGTGGGAAGCCAGAAGAGGGTGTGAGATGTCTGCTCTACCACACTGGGCTTTATCCCACTGAACTGGATGTAGGCAGCCAGCAAGTCCCAGTGACCCATTTGTCCCAGCCTATAAGCTTTCAAATATGCGTGTGCTCGTTCTAGCAAAGCACTGAACTGCAGCCTTTTAGCTATTCGAATGGGAAAACATGTCAATTTCCAGAGCCAGAGCCGTGCTGTCACTCATCTTACAGACGAGCGTCCTAGTGTCTACTTCCTACTGTCTGACTCAATGTTTCTCACCAACACAAATACCCTGCAAAATGCAAAAGAAGTTCTGTGATGAGGATGCCAGAAGACACCAGGTCTCAGACCTGGAGGTCTTCCTGCTCTAGGCAGTACTCGATGGAACCCAGGCCTGGACAGGTTGGACAGGGTCACACACACCTCTGCAACCTGGCAACAAGCTCTGCTCCCTGGCCCTGATGTGCACGGGCAGAGGGTGGGGCCCAAGCTCAGTCTGTACTCACGTGGTTAATGAGCAGATGTTTTTATGGCCACAGAATGGTAGGCGGACAGTGGCAAAGGCTCTGCCCTGGTTGAACATTTCTGTCACTTGTGAGGGCAGGTAGCTGGTAGATGCCATAAGCACCTTCCCGAAGTAGCCGGTCCAGGTGGTGGGCTCTTCTGGAGGTCTGGAAAGAAGCACCGTCACACAGGGGAGGCTGGAACCTCACTGAGAACGACAGCCCTAGACCCACTGACCAACCCTCCACACTTCACAAAAGATCGGCTGTGCATAGCACGAGCACAGAGCATCCTGTTTCCCCCTGCCAGGTTGCTATGACAGCATACCTCCAGGAGCATGTGCTGGAGCAGCAGCCCCCAAACCAGACTCATTCAAGTTCCCATCATATGTTTCTTTAGCATGTGCACTCATGAAAGGAAGAGACAAGTCGCTACCACACACTTCTGTTGTAGGGAAGTTTAAGATGGAAGTACCCACCTCCTTGATGACCTGTGAGCAGGTCAGAGCTGTGACATTCATTCCAGTGGCTGGCTGATCCCAGATGCCCCAGTACAGAGGGTGTGGAGTGGGGACAAACAGCAACTCATCATAAGACAACCTTGAAACCCTGATTCCTGGGATAATACCTTGGCACCCCAGCACATCCTCTGAGCAGAGGTCTCACGATGAAGCTGGGCTTGGTGGTGCTGTGCCCACTCTATAGCTAGACCACATCTGTACCCAGAAACGGTGCCACAGAGCACGGTGGCTCTGTGCCATGCTTTCTAGTGAGTGTGCAGTTTAATTTTTTTTAAATATTTATTTATTTATTATGTATACAATATTCTGTCTGTGTGTATGTCTGCAGGCCAGAAGAGGGCACCAGACCCCATTATAGATGGTTGTGAGCCACCATGTGGTTGCCAGGAATTGAACTCAGGACCTTTGGAAGAGCAGGCAATGCTCTTAAGCTCTGAGCCATCTCTCCAGCCCTGCAGTTTATTTTTAAATTAATTCAAAATCTTATTGTGTGAGTGTGCAAATGCTCGAGTATGCTTGGAGCCAGAGGACAATGTCCATGAGTATATTTCTCTCTTCCCACCACCTGGTTCCCAGGGATAAGAGTCCGGTTGTCAGGCTTGACACCTTTGCCTTCTGAGCCATCTTATCAACCCTTAAAAGTAGAGCCCCGCTAGCACAGTGGCAGCATATCCCTGCAACAATGCTGAGACCCTGAGTTTGATTCCCAGTGTTTCCCACCCCCAACAAACCATGTTAGAAAAGCTTGCTTTTAGCTGAGCAGTGGTGGCACACACCATTAATCCCACACTCAGGGGCAGAAGCAGGTAGATTGCTGAGTTCAAAGCCAGCCTGGTTCTACAGAGCGAGTTACAGAACAAGCAGGGCTACACAGAGAAAGCCACCTTAAAAAACCGAAGAAAGAAAAAGAGTAAGAAAAAAAATGTCCCTGTAACTCACTTTTCCCTCACGGCCTCAAGTTTGAAAATATGCACAGTTTCGGTGTTGCTGGATGCGGAGAGAAACATGCTGTCCATGCTGAAGGCCAGGGAGCAGATGCTCACACACCTGAGGAACAGGGAGGGTGAGATAGGGCTCAGCTCCACCTGCCACCACAGAACACACTAGCAGCAGCTGGGGGTGGGGGAGCACAGCTGTGCCTTCTCAGGAACTTTAACTGTGGCCAACTGAGAGAATCTTGTCAGAGGCACTCAGCCCTACAGAAGTCTTTCTGTTCTTGGCCACCTCCTCAGGAGACAGAGGAACTTGCTTGCGATAAAACCAGTAAGAACAATATTTTTACTTTCTGAGATGAGTCTCACTGTGTAACCCTGGCTAGCCTGGAACTCAGTATGCAGATCAGTCTGCATACTTCAAGCTGGATGTGGTGGCGTACACCCTTAATCCCAGCACTTGGGAAGCAGAGGCAGGTGGATCTCTGAGTTTGAGACCTGCCTGGTCTATAGAGTGAGTTCCAGGACAGCCAGGGCTGTTGGGGATTGCGGACTACCAGACCTGAATTTCTTGTAAACAACTTGTTTTCCTCTGCTCTGAGCAAGAGACCCTGATGGCAGGGGAGTGGGTTCTGATGAGTCTGCAGCTGAAAGATCCTGAGAGCTGGGGCGTGGCCAGAGGCCTATATAAGCTTCCCCTGAGCACAATAAAGTGGACATTCTTGTATCAAGAATAACCCATGTCCTCATGTCTGTCTGTGTGCGTGTTTTTAAGTTTCTAACCCAGTTCCCAGCTCGCGTACCATACCACAGTGCAGGCGCTACACAAAGTTACACAGAGAAACCATGTCTTTTTTTTGGGGGGGGGGACACATTGCAACCATGCAATCATTCCCTCCCCTTTGTCCCCCGCGTGTACTCGGATTAGCCTACTTCCCTCTGCACCCCCCACTTTTGAGGCAGGGCCTTACTATATAGTTCTAGCATCCTTAAACTCACAGAGATCCTTCCGTCTCTGCCTACCTGTTACTGAGACAAAAGATATGAGCCACTACAGTCAGCTAAGAAAAATTCAACAAACATCTTTATTTTTATTTCGATTCCAAATAACCAAAACTGTGTGGCTGTATGGAACCAGTTTTAGGTGTGGTGGTTTGAATAGGAATGGCCCTCAAAGATTCATGTGTTTGAATGCTTGACCCATAGGGATTGGCACAATTAGGGGGTGTCACCATGGAGGCAGGCTCTGAGGTATCACATGCTTAAGATATGCCTAGCATGGCAGTTTCCTGCAGCCTGCAGATCAAGATGGAGAACTCTCAGTCCCTTCTCCAGCACCATGTCTGTCGGCACGCTGCCCTGTTTCCCACCATGACAATAATGGATTTAAACTTCTGAACTGTAAGCCAGCCTCAATTAAATACTTTCCTTTATAAGAGTCGCTGTGATCATGGGGTCTCTGTACAGCAACAGACACTGACTAGGACAGCGGATTAGGATGCAGCTGTAGTGGCTGACCGGGTAGGTCAGCCAGCAGTGCTGATGTTTTAGAGCATCCCCCCAGCAAGTGCCTCCAAGGTCACTAACATTCCACAGCCTAAATACACACATTTCCTCTTAATCCTTCCAGTGTTTCCAACATCCCCATATTGATGGAGTGTATGCAGCAAGTGGCACATTCTGAGCTGTTGCCTGAGTGCTTGCCAATAGGGGAGGGATGCTAGGTCTACCCTAGGAGGACCAGGTCCCATGGCTAGCTAGACTCAGGTCCCACACAGATGGCATGATTAGGAAGGGTGTGGGGGACAATGAGGGTGCAGAGAGGCTCCTGGCAGACACTGGACACAGGAGAATCATCTAGGTGTGTATGAAGAAGACAAAAGCACAGTCCCGGAAGGAGCCTAGCATCTGGGCTGTGGCTCTTCTCCTGAAGACAGAGCATTACTGTACAGCCCAGGCTTGGGGAGACTGCTACACAGTCCTCCTCTGGTTCAGGCAGGCTCACAGACGTGAAGCCAAGCCGCTTTCACTGCAATGCTTTGTCCTGCCCTTCCAAGACCAGTTCAGGAGGGCGCTGTGACTGAGCTGCTTGTCTTCAGAGATTGCAACCCACAGGGATGCTCTGTAAGCATCCTGGAACCCATGTACTCACCTCTTCACTCCTCTCCGGAACTCGAACAGCTTTTGTCCTTCTGGAATGGAAAATACCCTGATCACAGTCCCCTGGGTCAGAGAGAGGAAAAGGGGGGAAGAAAACAGAATTTTAGTCGACTAAAAACATAACAAAAAAACGCCCTTCCTGCTTTTTCACACAGCTCCACATGCGAACAAGCCGTGCAGGCTATTTCCAGGAGCAGCTTGGCTTGGCGGAAGGGGGGGTCTGGCCTCCTCTCTGAGCTCCAGGCCTGGGGTAGCACACCCTTGCTGCCACAGACCACATTACATCCTATCCTTGCTCACTACCACGACACTGCTTAAAGTCAGTCCACCGATCCAGACACAAGCAGCCTTGAAGCCACGTGGAGTATATTAAAGCACCACACCTCCACCCATAGCCTTTACTGGAATACTTATGCTAATAATTAAACACACATACTTGGGATTTACATGACTTAAACACACCATTACCTCCAATACACAAAAGACAACATCAACGTTTCAATACAGCGATGTTTAAAAATATTACAGCCATTGTAATTGTAAATGTTTTTTGTTGTTGTTGTTTTGTATATGTGAATTTAAGACCAGGTTTCTCTGTTAATAGCCTTGGATGTCCTGGAACTTGACTGGTAGACCAGGTGGCCTCAGAGATCTACCTGCTTGTGCCTCTGAGTGGGGTGTGTGGCATTGCTGTTTTTGAGACAAGGTCCTACTATGTCTCTGGTTAGCTTGGGACTCACTATGTAGATCAGACTGGCTCTGAATCCAGAGACCTACCTGCTTCTTGAGTCACTACCATGTCCGATGCTTTCCTATTTTATGCCACAAACAAGCATTTGCTTTTTTTTTTAAATTTGGTAATGTGTGTGTACTTCTGTGGGTGCATGCAGCATAGTGCACACGAGCTAGATGACAGCCTGCAGGAGTCAGTTCTCTCCTACCATGCTTCAGGAATTGAACTCAGGTCCTACGTCAGCCTCCGGCCTTCTCTACATATGTACATGCACCTGTGCATATATGAACATGTTCATAAACACCAACATACATACTTGCTTGAAACATTTCACCGGCTCCTGCAGTATGTCAAACAGTGGCACACTGCTACAGTTTCAAGGTCCCCAGCCAGTGGCACTAATGCGTGGCGGTGGAAGCTTCAAGAGATGAGGCCGAGAGCAAGTTCATCTAATCTGTTAGCATGCCCTTAAAGGGGACATGGGGTGCCAGTCCCCCCCCCCTTCTCCTAGCTACCGTATGAGCAGCTTTTTTGGCCATGGGACAAAGTGACAAAGCTTACTGAACACTAACTAATCCATTTGTCTCCCATAGAGGTTGCTTCCCTTGACCCATTCTCGCAGGGTGGAAGGCTAACATTGTGGATAATTTACACGGTGGTATGCATCACAGTGGGCTCTTTTTATTTTTCTGTGCATTGGGGAATAGAAAAACCTGCTTGGAACTTGGACCACGTGACCAGAATGAGCAAGGTTTGTGGAGACCGTGGAACCAGGTTTCCCTCAGCCATACCTTCTCAGAAGCAGTGGCAAGCTTGGTCCCACTTGCGTCAAAAGCCAGGGCTGCTAAGGGACTGTCATGAGCCGGGATCATGTTTGCAGCTCTCTGTAAAAGAGAAATCAAGAAAACATGACTGTTATACAAGAGCCTTGTCCCCAGGCTCCACTGGGTCATCAGGCGGGAGCGACGGTAAGAACACCATTCCTAGTATCAACCTGAGTAGCGGCAGCCCCATGTCAGGCAGGCTGTGGAAACACTGCTCAGACTGCAACGAGCACGCCTTGGAGCTCAGCACTGAGCGCTGGTGAGACACAGGCAGCTTAGCCAGATCTGCTCTGCCACCTAAGGAGAGCACCAGGGAAAGCCATGCTGCTGGGCCAAGGGTACACTGCATGTCTTCCCAGCAAAACACATCCATCAGAGCCTCACAAGGACCTCACCAAGTTAATGGTGTCGAAGACCTGCACCTCTCCGATGGTCGCACTTCCTGGGTACGCCAAGTAGCAATTGTCGTTGTTTATTGACAGTGCACACAAGCCTGTGGAAACACATGACAACTGAGTCTAGGATACTAAACAGTGTCAGAGTGGAGTTCATAATTCTGGAAAAAAAAAACAAACAAACAATAAAAAGTAGCAGCTAAACCTTGTCTGCACACTCACAAGTTCTGTGTCCCAGGCCACACTGCCTGCCAGCGTCACTCAAAAATGAAATGACTTTGGTTAGGGATGACCAGCAGGCTGGGTTAATACAGACCCGACGACCACTGGGCTCACACATTCACAAGAGAGCCCCGCTGGGATGGAGGCTCAGTAGGACTGGAACAGGGGGAAGGCTGATCAGTTCATACCTACCACATTTTATACTTGCCTCATGTGTGCGGACCAGAGAGGAAACTCCCACCTCTGGCCATCTTTAGTACAATTGTTTATTGAGTGTGCATGCATGTGTGCCAAGGTGTGTGAGTCAGAGCACAACTTAAAAGAGTTGTTCTCTCCTTCCACCATGTGTGTTCTAGGAGTGGCACTCAGGTCTCAGACTTAGCAGTTAAGTGCCCATTTACTTGCTGAGCCAACCCACTGGCCTGCAGTTATCTTTAAAAGACCCCCCCCCCAAAACAAGGACCTTCCTTTTTTAAAAAAATAAATTATAGGGGGCTAGAGATATGGCTCTGAGTTTAAGAGTACTGATTGCTTTATCAGAGGATTCCGGTTCAATTCCTAGTACTCACAGGGCAGCTCGCAGCTGTGACTTCAGTTCCAGGGAACCCGATAACCTCACCCAGACATACATGCAGGCAAAATACCAATACATATAAAATTAAAAAAAAAATTCTACTTGTTTATTTTTGGTTTGTTTGTATGTGCGTGCATGTGGCTGGTGACATGCATGCTACAGTGCAAGGCGGAAGGTCAGAGGGCAAGCTGCAGGAGTGGTTTTCTCCTCCCATTTCATGGATTCTAGGAATCAAACTGACGTGGTCAGGCCTGGCGACAAGTGCCTTTACCTGTCGAGCCATCTCACCAGCGCAGGATCTCCTGAGCAATGGCTTACCTGCAGGGTTTGGGGGTGTCTCTCGGATGGTATGAAGTACCTTCATGTCCCGGATGTTGTGTATATAGAGTGACTCCTCCAGACACACAATGAGCCTCTAGAAACAGTGAAAACAAAGACCACCAAGCATGAAGGAGGACTGGGGCAGCATGTGCCGAGTACCAACTGAGCTGACTCCTGGATCAAGATTCTCTCCACTCCTAAGACAGATGTAGGCTGCGTACAGAGCTCAAGTGTGTGCAGCTGCCTTTCCACTGCCGATCAGGTTATAGGCCCATTCTCATCAGCTCCCATAACTACATATGACAAGAGTACTGCGGATTCTAACAAGGTGACTTAATTCAGTACTATGTGCTTGGGTGATGGGGGAGATCTGTAAAGGCAAACTGCTCAGAAATCTAGGGTGAGTGTTACAGACTATTCCTGTCCACTGTGTGCAAATGTATTATTGAGACTGCTATAATAAAGAACTGAACAGCCAAGAGGAGGACTTCCGGGCAGACAGAACTCTGGGAGAAGAAAGGCGGAATCGCAAGACAGAGAGGAAACAGCATGTGCAGTACAGGGTAAAGGTAACTACATAAAGAATGTAGATTAAAAGATATGAGCTAGTCAGAAACAAGCCTAAGCTATCGACAGAGCTTTCATAATTAATAAGAAATCAAAAATAAGTGTTTTGATTTGGGAGCTGGCTGGCAGTTGACAGGACAGATAAAAAACTCACAACAGGTGAGGGGCAAGGACATAATAGCACTTACTGTGTGAGTGTGAGGGACAGGCATTCGGACCCCCTAGGGCCCACATAATGCCGGATGCAGCAGTGCCATTACGGCAAGATGGAAGGTGGAAATGGGAATTCCCTGGAAGATCATTAGCAGCCTGGTGTATACAGAGGCAAGCAAGACACCCTGCCTCAAATAAGGTAGAAGGCAAGTGTACAGACACACACACACAAACCTAACAGCAACATGGTGAGCCCAGCCAAGTGAACAGGCCCATCATCTACCTATTGCAGAGACTGAGGCAGGAGCATGGCAAGTTTGAGGCCCCATTACAAAATAAGTAAAAAGGGGCTGGAGATGTAGCTTAGCAGTAAAACCCCCCAAACCTATGAATGAGCTATGGGTAAAATACAACTAAGAGCACGGGGGTTATGAAAGGTATAAAACGTTACTATGTGCACAGACTGATTATTTTGTTGTAAACTCTTAGCTCATTTTGTATGTGCATGTATGCATGTGTACTGTGTGTGCTAGTTCCTGAGGAGGTGGAAAAAGGGTGTGAGATCCCCCTGGAGCTAGAGTTACAGGTGGCTGTGAGCAACGTGATGTGGGTGGTGGGACTGAACTCAGTCCTGATTTTAAAGAGAGGACACTGGAGCTCCTAGATGTTACTGCTGGAACTGATTTCTGTGAGGGGCTTGGCACACACTTCACAACAGCTACATTGGAGGACGAATCTGCTATGCTTTAAACTTAAAAAGTATTATATCCCATAACTTCCCAGCTGAACTAACTGATGGATGGGGCCAACTCCCAGTTCAATCAGGCAACCAGGATGCACATGTCTGGTTAACTGCTTTAAAAACAACGCAGCCTCTGGGATCTGACTGCTGCTGCACACAGAAAACGCTGGAGGCTCTTCTGCAGTGGCTACTGTGTGCAAACTGTGGCCAAGACTCTCAGGATACACACGCACATGCTCCACACAAGGGGCTTGTTCTGTTGGTTTGGGGAAAAATATACATCACAGAAGGAAAAGATGGAAGAGACTCTTTAAAAGTATCGTTTATAAAAGCAAAAGAAGGCACTATTCCTGGACCCGCATCCACGGAGACAGTAACCGACAATAAGACTAGTGTCCTCAGGACAAATGGAGTAGGCTGGGGCAGTGTCATGCTTAGGACTACTGGATCAAAGATGCTGAGAATGGAGCTAATGGTCTGCCTGAGCAAGTGTGTTCAGGAGTTGGAGGCAGAGGCAGATGGATCATTGTGAATTCAGGGCCAGACTGGTCTACATAGCAAGTTACAGGACAGCCAGGGCTACATAGTCATCCTGCCTCAAAAACCCAAAGAAAAGACATTCAGGAACCTAGAAATGATAATGGCGCAGAGTTGAAAGCCCAACAGAGTGAGACATGGGAGGAACACTGAATGACATGCAGTACACACTTGGCTTCTCTGTTTGGTGCTGTTCTTGTGTGTCCATCTATGAGAAATGGTGGTTAGAGCCAGAGATGTCACCTGTCCTGCTCTATTATCCTCTGCCTTATTCCCTTGAAACAGGGTCTCTCACTGAACCTGGAGCTAAGGCAGGTAGTCAGTAAACCACAAAAATCCTCCTGCCTCAGCCCCCTACAATGCTAGGGTTAGAGGTACCCATGGCCAGCCTGAGTTTTTATGCTGGGGATTCAGGCTCAAGTCATTGTACTTATGCAGCAAGACCTCTCTGAGACATTTTCCCAGCCCTACTCGTATTTTGAGATAGGCTCTCATACTCCTGATCTTCCTGCCTCTCTCTGAGTGCTCAGATTAGAGGTGTACAGATTACACTTAAGCCGGTTTTACGCTGTGCTTGGGATGGTACCTAGGACTTGGGGTATGGTAGGTTCTCTACCAACTGAGTTGCTTACTAGTAGTACGAGGTGCCACGCACCTGCCTGTTCAGCTTCACAGCCAGTATCGTGTTGGAGTAGCTGTAGTTGCATATTTCAGTTCCCTTCTTAAAGTGGCAAACTTTCAGTTTCCTGGGAGCTTTGAGGCTGACGATGGCTACCAAGCTGCTTGAAAACAATCTCTCCACGATGCACACATCTTCTGTGTCAGCTGGAATCAGAGAAGAAGAACACATACAGGGACAATACAACTCCCAGTCAACCACCCATCCACCCACAGACACAGGTGCATTACTTCTTTCTAACAGGGACATGACACTGAATGCTGTAAGGGATACATGGGCTCCCATGTTCCCAAGACTCACAGGACAGCAGGGGGGATGAAAGTGTCATCATCTAAAGCCATGGCTGCTGGCACTATAAATACAGCTCACACCCTATGTGCAAACTCAGATGCCAAAGCAGAATCATGAAAGTGTGTCTTTAAATACCCTCTGCTGCTGGCAGGACTTCAAAACACACTCATTACTTTTATTTGTTGGTTTATTTATATATTGCGGGTGTGTATGTCTGCTGTGACAAGTGTGGAGAGGTCAGAGGAAAATTTGTGGATGCCTGTTCTCCTGGGGTTCCAACCTAGGTTGTCAAGCTTGACAGCAAATGTCTTTATGCACTGAGCCACCTCACTGGCCCACCCTTACTCAAACAGGGCCAAGAAACATGACGCTGCAAAGGGGACGCAGGCTAACCACTGAACCACAGCTTGCAGACACAAGGGGAAAGAACATTCAGTGAGTTGAATTGATAAATGTAGCTCTGTTTGCAATTATTTAAGTTAAGGAGCATTTGTGTGTCTAGGTAAGCACATGGGTTCATCATGTCTGCCTGACTGGAAAGGCAATAAGCATTAACACACTGGACGTAAGCTAGAACTGGACACACCCATTTTTTGCTAAAAGTTTGAGAACCAATGGAATATGAGTAAAATCAAAGCATGATCCTAAGCTCTTTGCAGTTCAGTCATGGGCACTTTTACCCAGATGACACAAATCATATTTGCTTCTTTTCCAAAGCAGCAAGCTTTCATTTCAAGGATCAAAACACAGTGGCTGCCAGCACTGCAGGGCAAGCCAGAGGGATGGAACCAGGAGGTGCGTACTATGCTGCAGAAGATTCGCAAAGCGGCATCCTGCCCAGATGTGACTCTGCCGGCTCTTAGAGGAGGCAGAGATTTTATACACGACAAGCACCCAGAACACAGCCAACCAAGTTGGGCAGAGAGACCTGAGACCCAGATTGTCAGTATCTGTGGCACAAAGCAAGGATCCTCCTTCAAGAAACCCCATGGCATCTACCACGATAAATTTCTAGGCAGGAAGAGCATCAGGAGTGTGTAGCTCAGATTACCCGGCATGCACAAAGCCTGGGTAGATTTTCAGCAACACAAACTGGGCAAGGTGTATACACCTGTAATCACATCACTTGGAACGTGGAAAAGTGATCTATTCACAGCTGCCAGGTGTGGTAACACACACCTCTCGTCCTAGCACTCGATGCAGAGGCAGGTGGATCTCATGACATATGTAAACATCCTGGTTTACATAGAGTTCTAGGCTAGCCAAAGTCACATAGTGAGACCCAATCTTAAAAAAGGCTAGAGCTGGAGAGGTGGCGCAGCAGTGAAGAGTTTCTGTAGAGGGCCTGAGTTCAGGTCCCAGCACCCACATCTGACTCGCAACTGGCCTGGAACTCTACATCCAGGGGATCTGATGCTCTCCTCTGACCTGAGGGCACCTGCACTCCTGTGCATACAAACATATCCTTAATTCAAGCATGAGAACCTGCTCCCCAAAGGCACCCATGAACAAAGCAGGGCATGGTACTGTACCGGGGAGGCAGAAACACGAGGACCCGTGCAGCTCAATGGCTAGCTAGCCCAAAGAGTGTTAAAGTGTCAAGCTGAATTCTACATACCAGCCCTCCGACACACACACACACACACAACTGTAGTGGCACTAGAAGCCAGAGGATCCCTGTAAATTTGAGGGCATACTGGTATACATCGTAAGTTCAAGCCAGCTCAGACTAGCTGGCTATGCAGAGTTTCTCTCCTCTTGGCTCTTGCTGTCAGAGGTGATGAGGACTGGCTTCAATAGCCTCAAAGACACAGAAAGGACTAGACTAGAGTTTTGGGAACTGTCACAGGAGCCCCTATGTGCTAACCCAAGCTGGCACTTCAGCAGACACAGGTCAAAGACCCAGGATCCTGCTACTTAATAATGCCAGGAGCAATAAAATCCAATAAGACTAAATTAAAACTGTGGGAAACTCCACCCCCTTCTCAGTGAGGAGGAGGGAGGATCCCAGCCAGGTCCAGAGGCCAGTAGGAGATCAGGTCATCTGGGGGACGACCTGGTGTTCCCTGCTGTGAGCACCAAACTCTCTCTAGAGCAAGGGTCATTACTGGCTTTGAGGGCAGGGCAGAGGTGGAAGGTTTCCTAAGTGCAAATGTAGCTTGCTAAAGCAGAGCCAGCAGCGGGCACAAGAAGGATCTGGGACATCACAGCCAGGAGTTCAAACCCAGTCAACTGGAGGAAAATTGCACCAGTGCTACAGAGGCAGACAAAACAACTACTGTTCAGGCTGGGTGCGGGGCTCACACCTGCAGTCGGCACCAGGAGGCCAAGGCAGAGGACTGTTGCAAGTCTAAAGCCAGTCATCATTACACAGTGAAACTCTGTTTAAAAGAGTAAGAAACAGATTCAATGCAATGCCCATCAAAATTACAGCAAAATTCTTCAAAGACCTCGAAAGAATGGTACTCAACTTCATATGGAAAAACAAAAAACCCAGGATAGCCAAAACAATCCAGTACAATAAAAGAACTTCTGGGGGTATCACAATCCCTGACTTCAAACTCTACTACAGAGCTACAGTCCTGAAAACAGCCTGATATGGCATAAGGACAGGAGGACCAATGGAACTGAATAGAAGACCCGGATATCAATCCAACATCTTCAAACACCTGATCTTTGATAAAGAAACAAAAAATATCAAATAGAAAAAAGAAAGCACATTTAACTAGTGGTGCTGGAATAACTGGATATCAACATGTAAAGAATGAAAATAGATCCTTATCTATCACCATGCACAAAACTCAAGTTCAAATGGATCAAAGACCTCAACATAAAGCCAGCCACACTGAACCTTATAGAAGAGAAAGTGGGAAGCACACATGAACGCATTTGCACAGGGAACCACTTCCTAAACCCCAGCAGCACAGACACTGAGAGAAACAATAAATGGGACCTCCTGAAACTGAAAAGCTTCTGTAGAGCAAAGGACATGGTCAACAAGACAAAATGACAGCCTACAGAATGGGAAAAGAATTTCACTAACCCCACATCAGATAGAGGTCTGATCCTCAAAATATACAAAGAACTCAAAAAATTGGACACCAAAAGATCACATAATCCAATAAAAAAAAAAAAAA